ATGGCTGCAGAAATGATTTTACCTATATATATGGGGGAAAAATGTTTCTGCAGATAAATTATCTGCATTTATTTTCAAAACGACGTCGTTTTGATATTGAAATCTTAAAAAATTATAAATATAAAGACTATTATAACCCTAAAATAAATTGAAATTACAAAAACACTACGATTTTCGTCCAAAACGACGTCGTAAAGAGTTATCTGCAGTAACTGCAGAAAAAGCTAACCCTATATATATATATATATAAGGTAGGATCCTTTGACACTGATGTCAAATTTGAAGTTTGACACCTCATCTAAGAGCCGTTAGATAAAAAAAGATCAATGTTCACATGCTTACAAATCGGAGTCGTTGATCTTTTTTTATCTAACGACTCTTTGATGAGGTGTCAAACTTCAAATTTGACAAAGGATCCTGCCTATATATATATATATATATATATGGCTTTAATATTTCTAGAGTGAATATAGATAAGTTACCTGCATTCACTCCCAAAATGATGTCATTTTGGATTTAAAAATTATAATGAAAAAGACTATTATAACCCTGAATTAAATTATAATTACAAAAATACCTTGATTTCGGTCCCAAAACGACGTCGTTTTGGGCTCAATGTAGATAACTTATCTACATTGACCGTATAAAAGACGAACCCTATATATATATATATATATATATATATATATATATATATATATTTCCTTTATAACAAATCCTAATCAATATGCTAATAATTAATCGTAAAGAATATCTTATTATACCAAATAATAATTAATATCCTAATAAATAGTGATTGATATCTTTCCTCCAATCACCTACAAAATAAAACATGGTTATGTGTATAAGTTAAGCTATTTCATTTTGAGTGTTATTATCAATTTTTTTTAACATGAGTGTTATTATTTAATCATTTATATATATAGACACGTGCAAGAAATATGTGAACATAAATATAAAATAAGTACCAATATTATTCTAATATGAGATTATCAATATGGGAGTGATATATTTATATATATATTTATCTATTTGTCTATTCTATTTTATTCCTGTATAGATGAGTTTTCTCATTTTAATTAATAGAAAAATATTTCTGCATTTACTGCAGATAAGTTATCTACATTTATTCTCAAAACGACGTCGTTTTGGGATTGAAATATTAAAAATTTAATTACTGCCGATAAGTTATCTACATTTCGCCCCAAAACGACGTTTTATTAGGCTTTGTAGATAATTTATTTGCAGTAACTGCAGAAAAGTGAACCCTTTAATTAATTATGTTTTTGGTTAATTTCAAAATATAATTATAATTCCATTTAAAAGAGGGATGCTATACTTACTACCAACTTTAATATTGTTGGATCAAAATTAAATTAACGATTCTCACTTGATTTTTTTTGTAACCGTTGATTTGATTTTTATCCAATAATAACAAAGTTGATAGTAATTAAGAGTAGTAAAAAAACGGCAGTAAGAATAATCTATCCCTCAATGAAAAAGATAAAATATTAAAACAATATTATTATCACTTGTCATCATATTTGCTTCAAATTACTTCTCAGTTCTCACTTTAAAGATAGAGTTGTCTTCTCATCAGTCCTTGTAATTATATTCCTATCATAAACTCGAGGAATGTTGTAACTGATACCATCTCCAATGTCCAAAGATAGAGTTATTTTAAAAAAATAACTAAAATTGTTGTAATACCGTAGGTTTTGGAGTAAAGATATTGTAACGATATGTTTGTTATTCAGCTTAATTAGTGGAACACATTTTTCTTATTTTAATTTAAATATTTATTGAAATAAGTTATTCTACCTATTATTATTTTTTGCCTATTTTTGCTTACCACTCTAGAACACTATTAGATCAGAATCTTAATTAACATTTATTTTTTTCTCTCTGCTTGAGATTCTGATCTAATAGTGTTGGCAGGTGATAGCAGAAAAAATAGCAAGTAGAATAACCTATCCCACAGTTTACCAAAAAAAAAAAAAATAACTATCCTATATTTATGATAATGAATATTCGCTGATTTTTTAATATTTATATATAAATATAATTATGGACATCTCAAGGCGGTCGCTAAGATGCATTCACTGAATATTATCTTTATATTTTGATTTCAACTTATCCATATTCAATATTTATTTATCATATAGAATCGTTATTTTATGGAATTTTCGTTATTTTATAGAATTTTCATTATTTTATGGATTAATCTAAGTTGACTGACCCAATTTAAAAACGAAATATTCGTGTCCTCTCAAGTATCCAATTCCTTTGTTACCTGTGTCGTTTAAATATGTGATCCTTTTGAACTAGTTTTAGGTCCTGATTATATCTTGTTTTATTTAAAAGTTGAATTTTACATTAACAGTTTCATCACTTAAATTTGTTCATATCATTATTATTTGGTTCTCTTGGCTAAGAGAATTTCTCCAGATGGATTGTGGCAACTGTAGCTGTTTGTGTATGTCAAAGCTATGCACATCCAATTCTTCTTCTACCCTTTCCTTGTTATTTACAGGGGTTTCTTCTTTGTACAAAAAAGAGTCAAAGGCACATAAAGCTACGGGAGACATATTCTATGGCAAAGACGACTATGAAGAAATAATTGATGTCATGTATAAGGAGGATGTCATAGAGTGCATGAGAAGAGAAAGAGAACTTAAAGCCCTTAGCAAGAAACAAAAAAAGTGGCGAAACTCTTTTCAATGCTTTGGGCTTTTGAGGTTTCTGTGCAGTTGCTTCAGGTTCTGAGATCCTTTGAAGCTATCATCTCCTTAAATGATTGTTATCCTTTTATTTATGGATTATTTGCTGCGAATTTTAATTATAGCGGAAGATTATACATGATTGGTGAAAATTTTGATTTGCATTGTGGATCAAATACTGTGATTAATCAACTTTCATTGTGATGTTGTTTTGGGTATCTTGTATCTAAACAGATTGAGAAGGATATTAGTTACGACTTGTTAGGATATTTGTTATGACTATCGTGATTTTTTTTATTTGTTTTTGATAGCATATACTAATCAATATCTTAATAATTAATCATAAATGATTTCTTATGAGAGAAAGATATGTTAACAAATATTTTTTACAAATTGGCTTATCATACACTTTTCACTTTTGATTGAAGTATGACCGGTCATACTTATTGTAGTTTGTAAGAATTTGTAAACAAAAACTTCTCAACAAATAATAATTGATATCCAAATAAATAGTAATTGATATCCAAATAAATAGTTGTTGATATCTTTCCTCCAATAAACTGTAAAATAGTTAACATGATTATAAGGTGTATAACGAACTTAAGCTATTTTAGTTTGAGTGTATTATTATGTATTTATTTTTTTAACATGATTGCTATTATTTAATCATTAATATATACTATATAGACACGTTTAGGAAATATGTGAATATAAATATAAAATAAGTATCATTATTCTAATATTGTTGTAAAATATGAATTTCACATATGAATAACTATTGGAATACAAGAGGTTTATGTAACGTTTTGTTTGCTTATGACTTTTGGTATGAAATATAATCATCATACATCATACTAATGGTGTATTGAAATATACTTACTTCCTCTATTCATGTATAGTCCTAATCCCCAGGTATACTGAAGATGTGGGGTTGAGAGCATGTGTTCGATCCTCTCCTGTATTGTCTTTGCAAGGGTTTTAAAGTCTTAATTTTGAGATCCGCCCCGAATAAGACTAGTCGCAAAAATGTATAATCCTACATAAGGACATGACTTATATGAGATATTAGATGATGATGAATTCATAAGTTAGTAATATTTCTATACTTTTCCTAAAGCTCTTCATGTGTTTTTTCATCTTTAGTTTCCTTTTTCTATTTTCTCTCCTTTAATTCTATAACAAATATGAGATTATCAATATGGGAGTGATATATTTATATTTATCTATTTGTCTATTCTATTTTATATTAGTATAAATTAGTTTTCTTATTTCAATTAATTACATTTTGGTTAATTTCAAAATATCATTATACTTTCATTTAAAATAAATAAAAAGGAGGGATATCCTTATTTTTAAAATTGAAGATGGTACAAGGTTTTTTTTTTTTAGGATTCCCGGAAAATTGAAGATGTTAATCTTATTTATCCACGTTTGGTATGAGATTTTTAAATTTTTTTCGGGAATATGATTTTCTCGAAATCTGATTTTCTGTGTAATTTTTTTTGAAAATACCTTCCAAGAATACCAAATACAGTATGACAAGGAAAATTTTAATACAACCAAATACAGTATCAAGAAAATTAACTCAATATTTTCAGAAATATGTTAGCCTACCAAACAACTTTTTAGTAACATTCCCGAAAAACTCATTTTCTAATCATATTCCAAAAAATTGTAATTCCCCAATAAAAAAAATTTTTCCCTTACTAAACACCCCATAATTCCTTCACCTCCAAATGGTTGTATTGATATGATAGCTAAAGACAGGATGGGTCTTTAGAGACCCAGAGTAGCTAGACAGTTTCTGTCTTCTCTCGTAGATTTCCAAAAAATAAATAAATAAAAAAGAAAATATTAAAACAATGTTATTATCACTTATCATTATATTTGCTTCCAAGTACTTCTCACTTTAAAGATAGATTTGTCTTTTTTTTCTGAATTTAATTAAAACTTTCACTAAAATCTAAACCTAAAGTTTTCACTTTATATTTTTTAATCTTTGAAAAATTAAAAATATTTATTTTCTTTCCAAGAGACAATAAAAAAATTGATTGGCTATAAATAAATGGATTAATTGACACATATAATAACTCTAATGTTTCATAAACAATAGCTAATACGTGGAAAATGTCATTCTTATTTATATTTTTGTGTTTTTGCATAAACAACAAGAAGTAATTAAATTACATATGAAATTGTAACTTGTTTCTTAAACTTTCCTCAAAGCCACGAAAAGAAATTCACGGCAAAGAAAAAAGCCATTAGTCTTTGAAGAGTTATTCATATGCCCAATGAATGCTCAAGTGCAATCATTTTAGAAGACTGTTGGCTTATAACACTGTTTGTAGAAGAGTTTTGAGACAAAACAATCTCATATCCATCATCGTATGGGTCCATTCCTTCATCCAAAAGTTGCCAAATCAATCCCCCAGCAAATGTTCCTCCATGTTGTGCCAAATCATAGATGCTTGAATACACAGCATTCATAAATGAATCTCTCGCATCGATACTATACCCATCATCTTTATTCGACATCCCGAATTCAGTAAGCACCAATGGCTTCTTCAAGATTGTGCTTGAGTCATTCCAATGACTTGTCATCCAACTTTGCATGAATGCCATTTGCACCGTATCATTTTGTCCAGCTAGCCTGTATACATATGTGCAATAATTAAGTTGTAATAAAATGGATTTTTTTTTTTTTGAAAAATATGTCTCTTCAGCTGCCGCTGCAGAGACATTATTCCGTGCAACAGTCATATACTTTTTAGGATATGGTTTCATATCCTGAAAAACATGTATCAGCTGCAAATAACTCCTTAGGAGCAACAAGAAATTAATAGAATCTTTTTTTTGCAGTAATAATAAAATGGAATTTTAACTGTATTTATTCTTTTTTTTTATTGGAAACATAATTGTAGTTATTCTAAACAATATAATACTCACCAATTATCAGGATATGCATGGATTGTTGTGAAATCAATTTCTTCAATGAGATTGTTGCTAACAAAATCTGTACCAACTTGGAAACCAGGGTTGTATTGCTTCTTTTCTGGAATGGAATCTCCATAGAATCCTTCCATTCCAACCTCCAATAAGTGATTATTGTCAATAGATTTCACATAGGGAGCCATCTCTTGAACCCATGCCTGTAGTACATAAGAAACATGCATGACTAATTAGCTTTTACAAAACAATATAATATTTTAATTATATGTATAAAATGTATAGTTAAATAACATAACATGGTAAAAAAAAAAAATGTTATACATTTATGGTCATGCCAGAGTAATCAACTTCGCAGCGTGGTTCATTAATTAGTTCCCAGGCCATTATGGTTGGTTCATCTCTATAAGCTGTTCCAGTTATTGTGTTGTTCCTTGTCAGCACCGTCTGCAATACAATCAAGCACACACAAATTATAAAATGTAATTAATTAATCACTTATTTAGCTCAATTTATTTATTTATTTTTCAAAGAAAGGGAAAGGCTTTCGCTAATTTTGAAGTTAACTCAAACAATTCGTTCAAGTTCTTTAATATTTGACGTACTTTGACATGGGCTTTGTAGTAATCCTTTATAACAGTATTGTTATAAAAGTCATCATCGTTGTTGACTGGGACCCCAGAACTATTAGCCCACTGCACATACTGAGGCCTTCCTCCAAAATCTTTGTAATTGTTGACCAAGCTCAAAATCAAACGCACTCCATACTTTTTCGCTTCTGCCACCACAAAATCCAATGCCTAGCACGAGCAATTAGAAATTAATTAGAAACCATTCGTATTATATTCGCGCAACAAAAGGTACTAGTTTTTACTCAAAATGCATGCATGCATGTAACAATCCATACAATCATATTAATTAATTACCTTGCAATTAAATTAACATATAACTTCATTTTTTTTTTTATGGGATTCATCATTAGTTATGACTATATATTGCGGAGTTAGAGCATTCTTACAACTACAAAAGTATACACATTTTTTATTTTTTTTGGTATAACTTGGAGGATATCCTTATTTAACTTTCTCCGATCACATTGTCTTTGGAATATGTATGGCCCGAAAGTTATCCCTTATTGAAGCAACGTGTGCATTGAGATTCACTAAATCCTTGGGAGCTCAGTTATCAACTGAGTTACCCTTGAGGGGTTCAAATATACGGTGCATATTTATTGGATTTTTACATTATCTCATTTATAATACTCTTTTTTCCGTGTATGACAAATATGTTTTCCATCGTCTTTACTATAATCTAAATCAAATGAATTATTATGACATACTACAAGAGGTGAAAAAAATCATGGATCTAGCTAGATATGCATGCACATATATAGAACAAATGAAGTAAACCTGGAACATAGGCTCATTGTATAGACCAGGCGATATTTGTAGAGATTGATTTCCACCATCACTAAATGCCCATGTACGACACACAGTAAGACCCGCAGCCGAAGCATCTCGAAAAACATTGGAAACTTTATATGTTTGGTTTGGATCAGCAGCTACGTTCATCATCCAGTAAGAGTTAAAGCCGTTGAATAGAAACGGAGAGCCATTTAGCACAAATTCTGTGCCATTGCTTTGAACAAATCCAGCTGTATCATTAAGAAGCCTAGCTTCACAAACTAGGGTTGAAATGAGAAGTACAATCACACTAGTAAGGTTCATAAAAACAGTCATTTTTGCTAGGATGAGTTATATATATTCTCGAATAAACAAAAGATGATTGGGTATGAAAATTTGTGCCAAGCTTGTTCGACATTTATAGGAGTGAAGAATATGGGTTGGGCGATTGAGATGAAGATAATGGAATTCAACAGATAGTGTTATAAGTAGATGCCAAAAATATAACAATATTAAAAATAAAAAAAGGAGGGCATTTTCATTAAGGTATGTACATGTTAGTTACAGAGGATATGGACAGGGCAAAGTAAGTTACGAAATCTAGCTCGTGAAGATCATCATTAGAAAAGACGCAAAGGTTATTTGATATTGGCGGCAGAGATTTTTGGAATGCATGTAAGTGGCCATTTTTTATTTTTTTATTTTTTATTTTTGTGACGTCGCTCCCATGAGGATGGTGCATTTAATTTGAGCAACGAGAAATGTTTTTTCGCACTCTTTATCCATTTTGGAAGAAAGCTAAATCCCCTACAAGTATTTACAGGTTTCTTTCCATCTTTCTTTATGCCCTATAGTCGTTACTCGTTACATTCTTTTCTTCTAGACTTTTCTTTGTTCTGTTAGCCGATTGGCGTGTGCTGTTGCTTGGGTTGGTCTTAGAGTCAAACGCTAACAACAAAATTCATGCATTCCAAAGAAACATAGCCTTTTTGACTTTACAGCAAAATTATTATTATTATAGTTCAGTTGGTGCATATAGGAGCTAAGTAAATGGGATGAGAACATGTGTTCGATCATTTCCTAGATCATATTTGGAAGGAATTTAAAACTTTAATGCTGGACCTTCCGTGAACAGATTTTCCTCCTATAGTGGAGGATACATGTGAATTATAAAAAAAAATATTATTTTTTTTTCTTTTGTATCCGTGCAAACATAGCCTTTTCGGCTGCTAAAAGAAACAGAAGCGTTCTTAAATTAAAATTTAAAAATTGAACGTGCCATTAACTAAATCTTCGTCTTTCTTCCCATCACCACTAACTTTCCTTAAATATTATTGTACGTTCAGGCTACAAATGAATTCCGAAAATGCTTTTTATTGTTACGGTTTGTACATAATTACTACTTCAAAGGGCAACACTCATTTTGCTTGAAAATCTTGATCCACCTTAAATAATATTCCTAGACAGATATAATATAAAATTATTAATGGACCTTCACTGTGATGATTTGATTGTTTATCAAATAACATGATAGTAAACGTTATTAATTAAGTGAATAATTGAGAAATGACTCCACATACAGAACTAAGTTAGTCATTAGATATCTGGTAGACATGAAGGATTGAATCTACAACCACTTGCACACGAACGTGTAGGATGATATATATCCTTGAGTTTCGTGGAAAGGGTATTTCGATCTTCTCTTGATGACTTGATGTACTTCCCTCCTCCTCTGCCCTTCCTCTTGCTCCTTAATTTGGTAAGCATCCATAAGTTTCACTGGTGGGATTTCCCTCAAGACGATCCATATATGAGGCTTACAAAAACAAAAATAAAAATATTTAGTTAAATAATTATTAATGATATTTATTTAATTTTGTTAATTAATGTAAATAATATCTCACCTACTGATTTTTCAAAGTTAATCATAAAATGGTTGATCTTATGTTATATTTTTGAAAAAACACTTGTGCTTTTAAAAGATATAATTTTATGTTATTTTAAATGAAACAACGTTATTTAATTTGGTGCATAATTGATAAATGTTTATCCTTTCAAATTAGTCCTATAGCCGGCTCAAAGAGTCGAAGCTCGTGGGGATACCGGAGGGAGCCAACTTGTCTCAAAGAGATAATTAGGGTTGGGTAACTCAAAAAAAAAAAAATTGATAAATGTTTATATTCTCTCTCCTTCCTCCACTTTCTCTGTCTTCCTAATTTTATGGAGGAGAGAAAATGTAAAAAATTAGTAATTATGTATCAAAACGACGTCGTTACATCTAAAATGACATAAAGTTATATCTTGACAAATGTTTTTTTCGTTTATTTTAATTCGGGTCCGTAAGAGTATATCCTTGTCAAACAATACATTTGCCAATCCCACTTTTATTCCGTGAAGGAAAAGTTTAACATGAAACGAACAGAGAGAAATGAGATAGAATTTTTGAACCTGCATGCATCATGGTATAACTGAAATTCTGACGTACGTCTCTTCTCTTATCGTCTATTTTAAAAAAAGAGTTCTTGGCAAATCATAAAAAGAAGTAATTCATATACGTATGCCTGCGGATGTGATCAAAAAAATAGCTAAACCCTGAATCTAACATTCTATAAAAGGCTACTTGATAACTGTCTTTCATTATTTTATTTTTCCCATACCTATCTTTTGTACATACATATTCATTTGTATGCCACGAATCTTGGAATGGAGATACAGCCATAGGACACCAAAAAATTAAAAAATAGAAACCTTGAAATGTAATAGACATATTATTAATGAAACAATAATTCGATTAATTTTCTGAAAGATAAAAGGAAAAGTTTCAATCTTCAAAAGAAAATCTCTTTAAAGCATCGTCTGCTAGAGGAATAAAAAAAATTAAAATATTTGAATAATTAGTTTATTTTATATTAAAATATAAAATAATAATAATAATAATTAATAACCCTATGGCCTATATAATTTCAATAATATAATTCATCCTAATCTAATTTAACGTCGAATTGGAAGACTGGGCCTGGCCCAAAATTTGGTTTTTATGGGTCAAGATTAATAAAGCCTGGCCCGTCACATTTATTCGGACCACACGAGCAGGCTCGACGGGTCGGTACATTTTGACGGATAGAGTTGTTCAGATTTTCAGACTCAAAACAAAAAATAAAATAAAAAATGTTGCAGTAAACGTCAAGTCGTTTTTATTTTCCATAGGAGCTATTTCATTTTCACGTATTCCCGGGAAAGGAGTGAACAGTCGCAAAACCTCAGCAATGGCACTTAAAACCCTATCCACTTTCCTCACACCTCTTTCTTTCACAGTCCCCAAATTTCCCTATCTGCTCAACAAACCTTGCCTCATTCTCTGCGAAGTTCCGCGGTCTCAGAAATCGCATTTCTCCGCCGCGGAATCTGAAGGTACCGGCGCAGCTGCTCCGTCGCCAGGTGAGAAATTCCTCGAACGCCAACAGTCAATTGACGCTGCTAAGCTCATCCTCAAGGATAAAAATAAGAACGAGAACAAAAAGAAGCCATTGAAAGCTTCTAAATCCGTCGCTTCTTGCTATGGCTGTGGAGCTCCGTTACACACTTCCGATGTCGATGCCCCTGGTTATGTCGATCTCGAAACCTATGAATTGGTATCGCTTTAATCTAATCGTGAATAACATTATCATTATCCATTGATTGTTGCTGATGATGTGATTTGATGTGAGATTGCATGTTTGTTCATCGTGCAGAAGAAGAAACACCGCCAGCTTAGAACCGTTCTCTGTAGGCGGTGCCGGCTTTTGTCTCATGGCCAGATGATAACTGCTGTTGGTGGACATGGAGGATACGCTGGTGGTAAACAATTTGTTACAGCTGAAGAGCTTCGAGAAAAATTGTCTCATTTGCGTCACGAGAAAGCTCTAATTGTTAAATTGGTATACTAATCACTCTTAACATTTTCTTTGAGTGCTTGGATGGCCTGAATGATTACCTTAAGAATTGTTGAACTAATTCTGTATAGAAATAGGATCTTATATGGGCACTATGGTGAAATACTGAAATGCTTTTGCAATTATGTGTAGCTCAGATATTTTCAAATTTTTGTTCTAAGAAACCATTGAATTTATTTATGGATGGATTCTTAGTGAAATTTCTGATATCTCTTCAAAGTTATGTTCAGTTTATTTTATGGCAAGTAGAAGCTCATAGCATATAGTGCAGTATAATATTACTAGAAAACATTATAAATTGTAAGGATGGATGTTATATGACAGGTAGTTTTTAGCAACTGGACAGAAGATGGTTTGATAAACACTCGATTTATACTTGTATGTTTGCTTAATCATTAAGTTGAATGTGTTGTACTCATGTTACAAATTGTACTTGGAGGCTTTTTGGTGAAAAATCTGACTTGACTTTGGATGCTAGGGATTTGATAATTAATTCAAAACAAATTAATGGTAAAACTATGCTCTCATTTTATTCAATAGAAAATTTTGTCACCTGAGACATTCAAATTGTCATAGGACGATTTATTTATTCTGCAGTAGTTAAAATACCTTTTGTTTATTTTCAATTAATGATAATGAATGATTGAATGGAATAAAGCTTCTTCATCTAATTTGTTGAAGTAACCACTTCTAGGTTGATATTGTTGACTTCAATGGCAGTTTTTTGTCTCGTGTGCGGGATCTTGCGGGTGCTAATCCAATAATATTGGTGGTGACTAAGGTAATAGTATGCAAGCAGCTTATTATTGATTTTTTTAGGATTTTTTTCGGGTGAATATATGATAGGAACTTCAATTTATAAATATAGTTTTCACATTTAACAGAATAATCTCTTTGTAGGTTGATCTCCTTCCAAGAGATACTGATCTTAATTGTGTTGGGGATTGGGTTGTAGAGGCCACCACAAGAAAGAAGCTGAAGTATGTATCTTCTTTGTAATATATTTATTATTAACTTAAAATTTACTAATTTGAGGCATCTTGTTCAATTATATGTTATTAGAAGTTACTAGTGAGAAGGCATTTGCAATTTTGCATACATTTGGTATTAAGCAATGCTTGCGATGAGACGAATTCAATTCTTATAATTTGTTTTTCTGTGGAACTAAGGAGAACTTTATAACCTAAGCTGAAATCTTTAACTTAGTAAATTTCAAATGTTGATATTCTTTGCAGTGTTCTCAGTGTCCATCTGACCAGTTCAAAATCATTGGTTGGAATGAGTGGAGTGATATCAGAAATCCAGAAAGAGAAGAAGGTTATTTTCTCCTTCATGGGTTACCTTTTTCGTTTTAACTGATTATATTTCTTAATTCACAAAGAAAACAATAAAGAAACCAAGAGGCTTTTATGGGAAACTTGATGATACATTGCCATTTAATTTTTCATCTAAGATGGCATAAAGGTGTTGTATCTGTACTGCAAATGTTATGAGCAATGTTGATCATAATTTGGTTGTAATTTGATATGTTTTCTATTAATTGAACTTGTCATGTGTCATTATTGGCTGTTGTTGCTTTTAGAGATCCTTGAAGTAGGAAATTTATGTGCCAGTTCTCATTTTTAATTTGTTCTTCCTCTTGTCCGCAGCATTAAAAACAATAGTAAAGATGATTTATTATATTGAAATAATATATCAACATCAACATCTATCCCTGATTAGTTGGGGTTGGTGGTCGGATAACCAAAAAATAATAATAAAAATAAAAAAAATAAAAGATTGAGGAAAAAGAAAAATAAATAATAATAATAGTAAATAAAAAAATGAAAAAAAAAATTAAATGAAAATATGCGAGAAAAATAGATAAGAGGGAAAAAAACTAAATAAGAAGAGAAAAGTAAATATGAATGAAAGATAAATAAATAATTAAATAAAGGGACAAAGGGTTGTCTGGAATATAGGAAAAAGCGGGTCTAACCCCTCCACACTGCTAATAGCTTTCCTTCTCTCCGTTCTAAGACACACCACCCTCCAATCTAGTTCACATTCCATTTAGTCTTGTTTTACTATTTTTCCCAAAGTAAGTTTTTGCCGATTTTTTTTTCTCTTTGTGTCATGCTCTTGGTAACAAATTTTTGTTTTTATAGGAGAATTTACGGGTCTTCAAACAATATATCTAAACTATCTCAATCCATGTTCTCTCATCTTTTCAGCCACCGGTACAACACCCACCTTTCGTTGAATATCTTCATTTCGTATCTTATCCATCCTTGTATGACCACACATCCACCTTAACATCCTCATTTCTGCTACTCTCATTTTATGCTCATGTTGCCTATGTGCTATTCAACATTCAGCTCTATATAATATTGCAGACTCTATTGTTGTTTTATAAAATTTTCCTTTTAGCCTCAAAGGAATTTCGCGATTACACAAAAATCCCGATGCAATATTGATCCCAAGTATCTATAAACATCTTTCTAATAATGAAAAATAAAAAAGAATAAAAAAAAGTGCACGTCTTCCTATTCTGCATTCTGCACTTGTGTTATACAAATGAAGCATAAAGAGCAAACGTGGCTTAGGTCTGAAACGTCATGATTTCAGCTGATACGATACTACCTTTAAAGGGAATTTAGGGAAAGCAATTTGGATGAGTCATGACTTGTTTGGTGTGACTGAAACAGAAAACGGTTAGGAAGAAATGGAGGGAAAAGCTAAATAAGTAGTGGAGGGCTGGGAGCAGGAGAATCATCTTGGATCTGGAATAGGCTTGTTACTTGGGAGAGTCTAGGGCCTCTTGAATTGCTCTAGAACTATCTTTCCTTTCTGCATTTACTTCTTTTCTTAGTTGTAATTGAGTCCCTGTGTTATTGTTCTTCCATTGCTGTCATTGTAATTAGGATTACTTGTCTCTGTTATTGTAATAGTTTTGCTGAACATTTTACCGGTTGGTCCATTTCAATATATGTTTCTGGAGTTGTTTCTGTAAATGAATTACTGGTCTCTATCATCAGCCTTTAAAGAAACTATATAGAGTTCAGTTCGCATGTTATCATTGACTTTATCTTAATTTCCCCTAATTCTCTCTACTGAAATTCTATTATTTTCATTTGTGCAGGGACGAGATGTATACATTTTGGTAAGTCCCTAAACTGGAAGTTTATATGCTTAAGGAGATTATGATTCACGCATGAGCTGATGCTCCTGTCTTGATGTTTTTACTGATTTGTAAATGGAATTTCTGAGTTTGTTATACCTTTGGTTTATCACAAATAATGGAAGGATCCAGATATTAAATTGTACTCATTTCTTATTTTTGTCTTCCTAATATAAAACGTACTAAAATTTCAGTTCCCACTTTTGGAAGATTGGCTTTAGTATCTCGTTTATTGTCCTGATTTATATATATAAACTCTTCTTCCTTTGGTCATTAATTTCCTAACTGCACCAGTTGAGTCAAGAGTCAAATTGACTAAAACTTTTATTTCACAGGGTTCAGCTAATGTTGGAAAATCTGCTTTCATCAATGCTTTCCTAAGTAAGTTATATTTTCATGCATCCTTTTCATTTTCTATGATTGAAAAATTGCTGTGAACGCTAATGATATATTACTTCTATTATATTGAGTTCTTTTGTTGCCTTTTACATTTTGTTTAGATGGTTTTTCATTTTTTTTTTTATATATACTGTTTTTCATTATTTATTAGCACAAACATAATTTGGTCTTAGTTTTTTCCTTTTTGGTCATTGTTTGCATTGTGCTTGAAGACTCCACTTTCCTTAAATGCTGATCCAAGCCAGCTTTAGTTTTTCTGAGATGGTGGCGAAGAGGTTAAACACATTGTATATCATATGAAACAGTGTAGGCTTGTTTTATACATATGATATTGAGCAGCTATGTATATTTTATTTGTTGCCTTTGGCTTTTGGCTGTCACATCGATTTGTGTATAGCTCAAATGGAACTGTGTTGAAATAGATTTTGATAGAATGTTTTAAATTATTTATTTGTTTATTTTTTAAATTGTCCCCCTAAATTATCTCTTGTTTGGCCTATTATTTTGGCAATTCAAGTTTTCAGGTTTACTTTTTCTCCATCTTGACCTTTTAATATTTAATGTCAGAAACAACGGCTATAAATGATCCAGTGGCTGCGGCTGCACAAAGATACAAACCAATACAATCTGCAGTTCCTGGAACTACCTTAGGGCCAATTCAAATTAATGCTTTCCTAGGAGGAGGGGTATGTCATTCTGATTTATATATTTGTATTAAACAGCTGTTTAATCTTATGAGTTTTTTTAATTTGTTTATATTTTTTGACTCATGCAGAAACTGTATGACACTCCTGGAGTTCATCTCTACCATAGGCAAAGTGCTGTTGTTCATTCTGAAGATCTACCCTCCCTTGCTCCTCAAAGCCGACTGAGGGGCCGAAGTTTCCCAGTATGTTCTGCTCAAAACTGTTTAAGACATTATACAGACATAAGTAATGCTAACTTTGGCCTTTCTGTTATTGTTAGAGTTCTCAAGTATTTTCAGACAGCAAAGAGGAAGGCAGTTCCATGATGAATGGTTTGAATGCATTTTCGATATTTTGGGGAGGTCTTGTCAGAATTGATGTCTTGAAGGTGTGGATTATATACTTCCAATTTTTACATCATGTCATAGGATCATTTATTTATAAGTCACTCCCTTTTCCTTGTCTAAATAATGTTATCAGTTCTGATAATTTAGGTTCTCCCAGAAACATGTTTGACATTTTACGGGCCCAAGAGACTACCAATTCATATGGTACCCACAGAGAAAGCAGATGAATTTTATCAGGTATTGTCATTCAATTTCAATCTGTTTAGAGAAACTATAAAAGACTAAACTCACCGTTGTTGCTTAAATCTGGCCTAGACAGGTCTAATTACCCAAACATTGGAGCTGTTTGTACTTGCAAATTTGAGCAACTGAGTTTATGTTTACAGTTCTAAGAATCATTGAAAAAATGAAAATGCTTTAGTTTTCCGCGTAATAAAAAAACGCAGAATACCAGTTTATAAGTAAGAATCATTGAACAAATGAAGATGCTTTAGTTTTCCGCGTAATAAAAAAACGGAGAATACCAGTTTATAAGTATTGCCGTTGGTTTGTCTTTTTTCTGCTGCTGTTTAGTAGAACATAATTCCTGAACAAAAGAATAGTATTTCCTATGACTGCTATACTTTATAGATTTTATTGCCATTAGATTGATTAGAGGTAAAGGGGGCGAACTGGAGCAGTGGTAAAACTGTTCTTTCATGACTGAAAGGTCATGAGTTCGAATCCAGGAAACAACCTCTTTGCAATTATGCAAGGGTAAGGCTGCGTACAAAGATTTCCTCCACCCCACACTCCCTAGTCGGGTTTAACGGGGAGTGATTTTTTTTTTTAGATTGATTAGAGGTAAAAGGGGGCGAACTGGAGCAGTGGTAAAACTGTTCTTTCATCACTGAAAGGTCATGGGTTTGAATCCAGAAAACAGCCTCTTTGCAATTATGCAAGGGTAAGACTGCGTACAAGGATTTCCTCCACTCCACACTCGCTAGTCGAGTTTAACGGGGAGTGGTTTTAGTGGTTTAGATTGATTAGAGGTGAAGAAGCTAATTTCACTTTAATAATATTTTAAGTTGTTTGTTACACATACTTAGATGGAAATAATAACTAGCTCTTGTTTGTGTGTGTGCAGTGGCATTAGAATCTACGGATTCTCTCTTCTTTCATTGCTTTGCCCGTTGCAAATTGATTTTATCTTTGTGTTTATTGGGTTATTTTATTTAGGTCTCGGTGCTCAAATCTTTTTCTACATAGGAAGTCTGGTAGGCGGTAGCGATATGTACTGATATAATAGATCTATTAATTTGATTGTTGATCCATAAGTTTTCTCCCACTCCGCTCTTCATGTCACAACACAAATTGGGATTTGTAAAACTTTAAATTTAAGGATATTCCCCTCTCGAACCTGAATGAGGGCTTTGCTTTATTGTCTCAGAAAGAACTTGGAGTGCTGCTGACCCCACCAAGTGGAAGAGAAAAGGCTGAGAACTGGAGAGGACTTGAATCAGAACGCAAACTACAAATAAAATTTGAAGATGTAGCAAGGTATGACGAGTTAGTTCTTGTATAGCTACTTTTTTTTACCTTAAAGGTTCTATTGTGGCATTAAAACCTTGTTTAGCTCATTCTAGTGTTTATTGTTGATTCAGTTCAGCCAAAAATACTATATTTATGAACGGAAAACCATGCAGAAAATTTTATTTACAGTTCACTATGTCTAACTGTCTTACAAGTAAGACATAGTATAACGATTTTTTTTTTTTTTTAAATTAGTGGGTCCCACTTTTTAAAAAAAAGATGTCTCTGTGATAGACATCATTTTCTACCATAACTGCAGATCCGAAGAACCCATTTATGAATAATAGATGATATGACATTCTTGTTTTTCTTTTTGGGCAGGCCAGCTTGTGATATAGCTATATCAGGCCTAGGATGGTTTACTGTTGAGCCAGTTGGTAGGTCATTCAAAATCTCACAACCAAAACCAATTGAAACTGCTGGGGAATTGCTCTTAGCCGTGCACGTCCCCGGGCCTGTTGAGATTTTTGTGAGAACACCAATACCAGTAGGCAAGGCTGGATCAGAGTGGTACCAGTATAGAGAATTAACAGAAAAAGAAGAGGAAATGAGACCAAAATGGCACTTTTGAATTCTGATTACTTATATTAACAAGGGTAGAAACTCTATTCGGATTCATTACTTATATTTTTCTTTTGATGTGACTTGTTTTAATAAAAGGCGAAAGAATAGTTAGCTCTGTGCTTACCTCACGGCTCCCTAAGCTGACTTTTTTTTTTTTTTTTTTTACATATTAAAAAAACAAGGTTATTTTAGTACTAAAATTTATTATAAAAATTTAACAAAACAAAGCAATAATTAAAAATGCAACATCTAGTCTAATTTCAATTTTCTTTTTTAAGATATTTCAAATCTTAGTCATAAATATAATAATTTAACTGATTCAAATTCAATATAATATAGTAATTCAACTTGGCAATGTTTGTGGACAATTGATATTTTGCTGGAAATGTATTATTCAAAAGATTTTGGAAGCGTATGTGCATAGTCTTGGCAAATTTTTAGACAACACACTTGAGCAAAATACGTCTTGACCCTTGTTCGAATGTGAATAATTATTCATAGACTTGTTTAGTGAGTAAAAATCCTTTCATTTACTAATAATTTTTGTGGGTACACTTTGGTTAAGTGCAATTTCCGTCCTTATTAACAAACCTAAAATGCTTATTTCATTTGGACACGAGGCACTGTTACAAACTTTGTCTAATTTATCAAGTATTTATATATTGAATGAAATTTTAAGAATTTTTGTTTTATTTTAATAGGCGGTTTAGTAAAGATTTAATAAAATGGCAGTTAACAAGGAAATGTTCCCACGGGCCGCGGCCACATTGGTTGGTGGTTATGGTTAGTTTTTGTTTTTGAATGGGTACCTCTGTTTAGAAACGGTGTGTCTATATCTTCAAAAGCATGTCCAACTGCTTATTAATGAACTCTGGCATTCTCTTTCTTTGTGTTCCTCGTACTAGCCTCGTCTCTTTCTCTCTGCCACAATGGGTCCATCTTCTGTAAATGTCACTTCCCGCTTTCATGAATCTGTCACTCGAAATGCATTTCGTTCTTATCTCGCTGAGTTTATCTCTACTTTCTTCTATGTCTTAGTTGTTGTTGGCTCTGGAATGTCCTCACGTGAGTACCCTTTGCATATTTTCTCAACTAAGTTAGTTCCTTTTTGTTACTAGATTAGTGCACATGCATGCGGTGGTTTGTTATTGTTTTTCAACGTGAAATTGATGTTTAATCATAACCATGAAAAAGTTTAAAGAAAGGGGAATTAGATCAATTTCTTAAACCATTATTGGTGTTTTTTTGCTTATGCATGAAAAGGATTCAAGTAACTTTAGTTTGCGTTTCTATATAGAGCATTCAGTTCTATATTCGGTGGATAGCTAGTAACATTGGAGAACAGAGAAACGCAGGGATTTTTCTTGTTTTTAATGCGAACCGATATGTACAATCATAACTTACAGAAAATAAAAAATCCGAAAATTTTCAAGTTGCAAGTTTTTTCTTGCCTAAATTATTATTTAGCGTTCTGTTTTACCATAAAATTTCATTTAGTTGTTGTATTCGGACACAAATGATTTGTAAGAATACGGATAAGAAACAGTCTTTCTTGTTTTCAAGGAAAAAAATTTGTCTTATCTAGTTATCTTCTTACCAATTAAACTGTTTTTCTGAATATAGCACTGATGAAAGTGACTACAACTTGAAATTTCGTGTAATGTTACTTTTTTTTAATGAAACATGCAATGTACTAAAGAGAGTGTGTGAAACATGCTGGCATTAAAGATCTTTTTTATTTTATTTTTAATTTGATTTGATTAATTGGTGTTCCACAAATGGCAGGGAAATTGATGCCTGATGCTTCACTGAACCCAACTAATCTGGTTGTGGTTGCCATTGCCAATGCTTTTGCTTTGTCCTCAGTTTTGTATATTGCATGGGACATCTCCGGTGGACATGTCAACCCTGCCGTGACCTTTGCAATGGCAGTGGGAGGCCACATTAGCATACCAACTGCTCTCTTTTACTGGGTTGCTCAGTTGATAGCCTCTGTTATCGCATGCCTTGTCCTGAGGGTTATTGTTGTTGGAATGGTATTTCTCCCCTCTTTCATTTGGTTAACATCTATCTATATTTCAATTTTCATTCTTTATCTTTAACTTTTGTCTTTCATTTTTTTATCACTCTTGGTATTGAATATTGGAATAGGTTATTCTACCTACTATTTTTTCTGCATACTTTTGCTTACCACTCTCCAACATCATTAGATCAGAATCTTAACTAACATTTATCTTTTTCTTTCTTCTTGAGATTCTGATCTAACGATGTTGGAGGGTGGTAGGTAAAGTAGGCAGAAAAAAATGGTAGATAGAATAATCTATTCCAAAATGATACGTGAGTTTTTTTATGCTTTTGAAAGATGCAAGTGGGACAAATGTGAAAGTTCTTTTAGTTGTATTTTTTTTTTGTGGGGTACGGCAGGAATGTTATTTACTCTCTTCCCTTTTAAAATTTTTCAGCATGTACCAACATACTCTATTGCAGAAGAGATGACAGGTTTTGGAGCATCCATATTAGAGGGTCTACTAACATTTGTTTTGGTGTACACTGTGTATGCTGCTAGGGACCCTAGGCGTGGTCCATTGAGTTCCACTGGTACACTTGTTATTGGTTTAATAGTTGGGGCAAGTGTATTGGCCGCTGGTCCATTTTCTGGCGGGTCAATGAACCCTGCATGTGCTTTTGGCTCAGCTGCCATTGCAGGCACTTTCAGGAATCAAGCAGTATATTGGGTTGGACCCTTGATTGGTGCTACCATTGCTGGCCTTCTTTATGATAATGTGGTGTTCCCTTCTCAGAATGCAGATTCAATTAGAGGGGTTTCAGAAAGAGTTGGGGTGTAATGTTATGTAATAAATTGGTAGTGTTAAACATTTTAAATTGCTGTATTAAATATTTCTTGACATCTTGTGTTTGTTTGTTGTGACTGAACACTTAGTATGTAATTTATTGTTATGTTAGAACTTAGAAGTGTGTTGTGCAACAATTTGATATTGGCTTGTAACAATTTCAGTCTTGCAAATTATTCCGTCCTTTATCACAAGAATTACACCTAGCTATTGTGTGTGTAATTAATATTTCTTATATGTATTAATAATACATATAATTTTAAAATTTTATTTTCGTGTCCCTATTATAAAAAATCCTGGGATTTAAAAGTCAATAGGATTTAGTGGACTCATATTATTTAGTAGGGTCAGCATTAAATTTTACTTAATAATAATAAATAAAAACTAAAAAGAAATACCATTAAGTCTAACATTTGAAACTACGTTAAAGTTAGTTACGGTAGTTGAATACGAAAATGAACTTTCATGTGATGATAACCGGTAGTAGTTGTTGATATGATTATACATCAGACATTGCTTTCATCTTTGTTATTATGGTTACTTTCTTCATCCTTTTGCTTCATTTTCCCCTCCATTCATTGCAAAATTGTCGCTAGAAATAATAGCAGCAAAAAATGTCTAGCTAAACTAATGGTCAATTAATTACCAACCTCTATATACCCATAAAGTAGAAAGACTTGAAATTCTCGTATCACTAGCTTTTTCATTTGTTGAAATTTGTCTTAATAGCTAAAGTTCTGAATAACACTGACATTTAGTTGTTTTCAGAATACCTAATAACTTAACTCTACCCTTCTTTCTTCAAGGAGAGCATTGAGGAAAAAACTTTCCTCTATTCACATATCTAACATTCTCACATGTAGCAATGGTGCCACCACTGCTTTCTGGTTCTAAGATCACATCCTGCACGTAGATTTCTCTGCAAGGGATGGTTCTGCTGCAGTCAAATTTGATAGCCACTTCTGAGGCACTTGTTCCTCTAATGTTTTGATATAACACGTTGCTTAATTTCACAGCTGAGTCCTGCCATTTGAACAAAGATGATTATGATTAACATACATACATTTAATGGATTACTAGAAAACAAAGGATTGCTTTCTTTGAATTTTGATGGTCATTTGAGGTTGAGAACTTAATTGACTTACCTGCTCTTGGCATGGCTCTGCTAGATCACAATAGTATTGATCTATGATTATGGGATTTGTCACATTTTGCATTGCTATATTCATAAATTTGATGTTTCTTGCATAACCAGAACCTCCCTGTGTTGAGATAGAATCAAAATATGTGAAATATTATAATTAAAAATCACACCTCTTATTACAGTATACTTTTTCCCATGCAGTAATGTGTGCACAGTTTATATGAAGAATCTGTATTTTTAGCTCTTAGTGCATGACTGCCAGAGTGTGCTCAAATAATCTCATGAAATATTCAATGTTTTGTTATATTATCGAATATTTTATTGGAAAGTATTTTATAACTTTTGTCTATTTGTGCTCAAAACATTTTCTATTGGTAACGATCATGCCATTCCATCAAAAGCAATTGAAAAATGAAATATGGTTATTTTTTTAGCTCTATTTAGTTGAGAGGGAGGAACATAGGAAAGTTTTTTTTTTTTAGGATCATCTTTTGTATATCTGTAGTAGGTACATATGCTATTCAATAAGTGACACTTGGATAAAGAAATATTTTTCACCACTTTCCGTACAACATGATAGTCATTCTTCATTTTATATTGGATAAATGCACTGAGTGAATGGTACAGCAGTGTATCATAATATTTCCGCGAGGGGGGAATTGTTGTTGTGTTGTGGTGGAGAGGTTAGGAATTGGTGGATTTTGCAAACTTGAGAAAAATGGTTGGTAAAGTATTGAATCTCAACTTTGGGCCAATCAGTTGTAATGACTAATTGGATAAAACTTTGTCAGAGGGCTTGTTAATTCAAAGAGTGGTCAACAAGACAAGAACTAGTAGTGGAGATTTGTCAACCTTGAGTGCACTAATTTCCTCACATTCCAATTCTTGTATCATTCGTCAACTTCCCAATGTTTGTCTAATCGGATTTGCGCCTAAATTTGGGCAATTTGGGTTCAATGGACACAAATTCAACCAAGTAATTCTAAAAGGCCTTTGAACTCAGGAAAAGCCAAATAACATAATTAGAGAGAATAAGTTGAAAATCCTCCTTTAGCAAGTTTTATTCTGAACCTCTATTAGTCCCTTTTTTTGCAACTGTCTCAAAGTTGTAGAGTGCTTAAACAGCCTAAATTTCAAAATCTCAAGACGAACTCTTACCTGCCATGTCTTTATTCTCACTCCATTTGCTGTTCCCATTAAGGTGGCCCTGTTCACTACCACATTGGAGACTTCAGCTTCTGAATTTTCAGCTCCTAAGCTTCCAATGCTGCAAGACAATACTATATATCAACATTTTAACCACTCAATGTAAAAATTGGTGCAAACACAAGTTCAAATTAGAATTGTATGTGGTGTAACATAATCATAAAACCTGATTCCATGTCCTGGTCCGCAGGTGATATCTGTTGCTCTAACGTTTTGGGACCCACTTACTATTGAAATACAGTCATCACCTAAAACAAACAAAGTGGAGAAAAATTAAAAGGTAATATTACTCTCACGTAACATGAGAGTAGTTCTCTCATGTTACAGAAAGAATTCAAGTAGAACCCGTTATTTAAAAGCAAAAAAGAAAAAGAAAAAAGAAGGGGAATGATTTTCTAAGTAAGAGAAAAGGAGATAACTACCTCATGTAAAATAAGAGTAGTATTTCCCAAAATTAAAACGTTCATTTAAAGGGTTATGTTTATCTCATTTTACTAAACAACTTTCCTACACACACAAAAATGTATTGGGTTCCATCACTCTTTTTTTTCTCTCCTCTTATCGGTGAGTCCCACTTATAATTTTATCTCGACAACATGAGGTAACTTTTTTCCTAAAGAAATTTCCATTATTTAAATCGAATCGAACCTTTTTTCATTTTGCATATTTTTTTTGGGTTTTATTTTTCTTATGTTGCATGAGACAAGTTGTCTCATGCAACACACAAAAAGTGAATGGGACCCACTAAAAAAGAAGAGAGAGAAAATAAAAAAGCGGGTCCCACCCACTTTTTGTGTGTTGCATGAGACAACTTGTCTCATGCAACATAAGAAAAATAAAATCCATTTTTTTTTTCCTTTGATATTATAGGCTTTTACCTGTCCCAATGACACTGTTGCTTATGTCAATATTTCGTGTCTCCGAGACATGAATTCCATCAGTGTTAGGACTGTTCCCTGGGGCTCTGATTACGAGGTTCGAAACAAAAACATTGAAGCATCTCTGAAAGGTTACATGCATTTGTTGTGCATCTTTGAATCTCAGGTTTTTCACTTTCAAATTGTTGCATTGATAAAAAGTCACAGCCTATATAACAAATTTTCCATGGAAGTAAAAAGTCAGTTAGGTAGGAAAACATGGCACCCTGCATCTCCTTGTAAAATATTAGGTAAAACTTTATGGTATGAAGAATATTTATCTTACAGTTGGTGCATCTTTGCATGGCTGTGAATCAAAGGAAGGAGAGGAAACAAATGAAGATCAGCAATTCAGAATTATAAGAACAAAAAAGGGGTAAAATAAATGAAAATTTGAAGAAAGACAGATTCAATGACTTACAAGGTTTTTGTTTGTTTTGCATGAGTTTTGCCACCATTTTTTCCCATTGCCATTGAAAGTGCCACCACCATCAACTTTGAAATTCGTGACACTATCAAATACAATCCAATGTTGTCTATCTTCTTCATATGCAGATATTTGAGGCCATGCTTCGATTGTTCCATATAACTAACATGATGAATTAGGAAAACAGAAACATTTACAATGAATTGCTGGTGAACATGGAAGGTAAATAAGATCAGATAATTTCTCACTAAGCATTACTTATGAAATGAACATGTATCTCACCATAAAGGCAGTGTTGGTTTGGCATGGACCTGAAAATGTTATTGGCTTAAGACGATAGATCCTATTTTCAGGTACCACAAGAGAAGCCCCTCTAGAACATGCTTCATCCCATGCTTTCTCAAATGCCTGAAGAAGAAAGAGAAGTGAGAGAGATTAAGAATGGACTAAATTGAAATGAAAAGTTCCATACTTTTTGTTGATATATATGTTGTTGTTACCTCTGTATCATCTCTTCCATCTGCTTTGGCTCCAAAGTCATCAACATTAACCGTTCCACGAGGCCTTGAAGAAAGAAGGGTAGCTCTATTATTAGCCCTTGTCATAAGACCAAAATGTTTATGTTTTGTCTTGATCAACCTCCCATCATGAAAATGTTGTTTGTAGTGTTCAGCATTTGTTTGATGAAGCTGTTCCTCTATGTTAGTGCCGTTACATAAGACTAATAATGTAAAGAGGAAGATGAAAAGTGAGATAATTGGCGTTTGTGGAGACATTTTGACGTTTCACTTTGTGAGAAAATAACAAACTGAATGAAGGACAAAAGTTTCAAGGATCATAGAGAGATTTGTGGTGCGTGCCAAATGACTAGAGCTTATGCAATATATTTATAGAAAAATTAATTAGAGCTGCTTTTCTTAGAGAATGTTTTTCATTGAATCTAGAGAGTGTAATAAATATGCAAATGTGCAAATTTTTCGAAAAGTGTAATAAATACGTAATTTTTTTACTAAAAAGCAATAAATAAATATTTTTGCCAGAGATGGAGTGGTGTTATAACGTATTGGTTGCTCCAATTCAAACATATTTTGGGTATATCATATAGATACATAATACATTCCAAATATTTGTCTCTTTTTTCCTTCAAGATTTTGTTATCAACTACTTTTGGGTATTGCAATGAGCCATATTAGCCAAATAGTCAAGTGCAAGTCATTTCTTGCAAAACACTTGCTACTTCAATTCTTTGGTTTGACTAATTAAATATTGCAGAAACTTTTTTTAGTTATAAGTAAAATTATATCTTTTCTCTTTCCTTATGTAAGTCGACAATGTTTGAGAAAAAAAAATATTTTATTATTATAAGTATATACTACATGCGTAGTACATAGTTGTAATCAGTTGTTGCAAAAAAAAAATTCTTTGTAGCAACAGTAGAAAAAATGCACCATAATGTTACTTTATATCTCTCCAAATTATGTGTGTTCTTTAGCTGTTATTGTTTACTTCAAATACTTTATAAGAAAGGAAATTATAAAAATTAAAGGCCAGTTTGATTGTGTTTTGATTTTTTTGTTCTTGAAACTGTTTTGTGGAATAGTAATAGAAATAATTATTTTCTATGTTTTTTTGTTTGAAAGTTAAAAACCAAAATAGAAAACAAAAACAACCCAGATATTTTCTCTAAATTTGATTTTAAAAACAAAAAAAATAATTATAGTTTTTTTTTTTTTTTTACAAAACAGGCCTTATCAAATGAGTTTTTTTTTTTTTTTTTTTTTTTCTGAAAACCAAAAATCTATTTTTGAAAACAGTTATCAAATAGAGCTTAAATTTATCTTTCAATTTTTTTATTTATGTTTTCATATTTTTAAATTATATAAAATTTCGTACTCTTATCTTAGTTATTAAAACTTTGTACTTTGTTGTAATAGTTTCCATTCAACCTGGATGTCCTGGGATGCTACAGACCGAGACGAAACCATGAGTGGGGTGGTATCTGAATTCGGTATTGATCACTTACCTACTTTAGTAAATCAAAGTGAACAAAATCATTTTGGGGTTAGTTTTTTTCGGTTAGCTTGTGCTTGTATACCAACAATCAATCATGTATGTACAGATTGACTTCAATAACACATTTTGTACCAAAGCCTGCTTATTTAGTAGAATATTTATGAGTTCGTTTTTTCTGCTGTTAATGCAGGTAAGTTATCTGCATTAAGCTTAAAATGATGTCATTTTGGGCAGAAATTAAGATATTTTTGTGATTTTAATTTATTTCAGGGTTATAATAGTCTTTATAATTATAATTTTTTAATATTTCAATACCAAAACGACATCGTTTTGGGAATAAATGCAGATAGTAATTGTAAAAATATTTTTCTGAATATATATAGAGAAAGAATCTCTTTATAATTTTTTTTTATAAATTACACTATATATTCTCAGAAATACATAGTGTAATCTAGTATACTTCCAAGAATTCATAGTATAATTTATAAACAAAAAATTTGTAAATATAATACCTAACTATTATAACATTAGTCTTATCTTCGGTTGAAATTTTCCAGAGAAGATTGTAATCACCGGTCAATTAGTTGTGGACATTTTCCCATGGTGCATTAGGCCAGCACATGCAGTAACTTAATTCAATTTTGATTTCTTCAATATAGAAAATATATAGAATTGGTAGCTGTCCACTCAGAGTAAGTTGAATAATTTCCCTAACAAATAAGGAACAAGGATCTCCTAATCCATTTTTTTTTTCTGGGTCATTGACTAATTATAAATTTAATTCTCTCTCTTTCTCTGTATCATAAAAAAATGTAATAATCTTAACTCGAAAGCCATGTTAAAATTTTTGAAGCAGAGGAGTTTCTGAAAAGAGAGGAGAAGGTATAATTGTGGCAATAGAAGGATGGGATTTGCATGTGCTTTTTGGATGAAAAATGAAGCAAGAAAATAGGCATGACCTAAGAACTTGCCGTAATGTGCCAATATAGGTATGGGGCTTTGAGTTACTTCCCAATTCAATTGTCTCTGACAGGAAGCTACCACATTATAAGCCCTTAACCTCAGAATAACCATTAGTGGTCTTGTTTTAAAGCACTGATTTTCTTGTTATAAGACTTAATTAACGACTGCATATAGAATGACACATATACAGTTAGCAAATTACGTAATAGCTTGTAAGTTTTTCTTATGTCTTATACCTGCCCTTCTCATTAGTTCACATGTTAGGTTGGTTTGGTTCCAAATTTGGTACATAGTAGCAATCCAATTCAATCCGAGATTTACCAAAGTGCACCCCATAAACTAATAAATAATGCAACCGTTTAATAGATATATATATAGAAATTTTTTTTTTACAAATTACACTAAATATGATTGGTCATACACTATTGATTAGTGTATTACCGGTCAGACATAGTGTAGTTTGTAAACAAAAAATTTATAAATATATTCTTATATATATATATATATATATATAATTGTAGCGAAAAAAAATGTTTATCCTTTTAAATGACACAACTTATATTCTTTCACTCTCACAAAGAGGTGGGACTCACACCTCTATTTTTTTGTCAACTCTCTCTCCTCTTTTATCTATTTCTTTCTCTCTCTTAAAATAATATTTAAAATGACACACATTTTTTCCATAACTGTAAGTGAAAATGGAAAAACATGGAAACAAGGTTGGGGTTTAGAGGAAAAGAAATAATAATAATAAAAAAAGGTTTAAAAAATTCATGTTGTATGAGAAATTTCTTTAGTGGGTATATGAGGAAGGTAGACTTCACAATCTGTTGCGGAAAAACCAAAGAAAATATTGACAAAACAATCTAGGGTATATTCTGTTTGGATAGTTGACTTGGACAAGTAACGAAAATTATATTTAAAATGTTAGTAATAACCGTCATAACTGATAATTGGTGTGGTATAAGAATATTATCTTACACGAGATTATTTATTTGAGAATCTCTCATACTATATAACTATAAATGATTAGTGCAAGTTTTGGTGGGGAAAAGTCCTACCAATGGTTAAAAAAAGTGGTAGCTAGGCAACTTTATTTACTGGACTTGTAATACATCTATTTGAGGCTATCTTGCTTTCTAGCATGTTGTTATATATAATTTATATTTCTCCAATAGGAAGGGATCATATGCTGTTGGTGATGGTTGTAATTACTAATTAGAGTTATCAAATGAATGGATGGATGGACTATGTTTTCACCAAAAAATAAAATAAAAATGATCAGACCATTTTTTTTATTGGACTGGCTTTGTTCACCCTAATTTTTACTAGGTCTGTGTTTTAAGATTTATTTTTGTAAAAAAAATTGCCTGACCCGCAATCGAGTTGGGCTAGTTTAGACCAATCATTTTTTCAATCTGGTTTGGTATGGCCCGAATTCTATAAGATTAAGCTTGACTAATCATCCATTAGGGCCAAATCCATTTTGTAATTAATATTTAATCATGGAAAGTTGTTAGTTAAAAAAAAATTGTTTTGGACTGCTAAACTTTCAATGGAAACATTTTCCACAATTTGTGATTAATTCATTATTATTGTTCAATCATATTATTTTTGTGAGTTTGAACTCCTTATTTTATAATAGTAAAATTTTATTCTTTATCAATTTAATTTATAAAGCTTGATTCCAATTTCTTTAATCTATCTATAATAACCCACACCATTAAGATTTGAAAATGTCAGATGATTACAAAGTTAACTATGTAGTATTAAGCTAAAAAAATAGAATGTGCTACAATGGGTTTCGTTAATCGCTACAGTGGTTCTGCAAAAAGAGAGAAATTGTTTTCAGTTAATTATTAAATTAACTTGATAATACGAATGATGATACAAAGCATGCCAAATAAGTTATTTATGACCAAAAATATTATTATGTCAAGTTATAAGGGTCAATGTGCAATCATGGCATAGTTTAGGGATCAAATTACAATCATGCAAAAATTGGCCTAAGCTCATTAATGATATAATAACCCTCACTAGTAGTTGTGAATTTAATATTGAAGAATAATTAGAAGTAAAAGAAATAAAGTCTCCTTTGGTGAAAAAGGAGTTAAAATGACAGTTAAGGGATACAAATACAGGTAAACAAAGTTACTCGAAAAGTGAAAGTAAAGTTAGAAATATGACTAGAAAAATATTCTAGTCCATTGGATAAAGTTTGGTAATGAATGGAGGTGTGTAGATAGATAAACTTTTACCCAGTTGAATTTCACTTGACCTATGTAAGTTTGGTAAAAAATGTTACTATTCCTTCTTATTTCTTCTTCACGGACGACAGAGAAGGAGAGAAAAGAATGGAGGTTTTGAAATCAAATCTTCCAAGGATCATAACTTGAGTTAGAGTTAATGAAATTCATCCGTTCCAAAACCAAAGTTGAAGTGTGCAACCTGAGGAACAGATCCACAGTAAGAAAACTCTATTTTGATTGGGTTTTTGTTGTAGATCTGGATTTATAGTTTTGGATGAATAGTGAATAGTAACTTAGATGAATAGTGAATAGTAACTTGCTATACATACTGAATTTGTATATGCTCCTTTAGAAGAAATGATAGTGAATTGAATTTGATCGGTGAAAGTAAGAAAAAAATTGAATATGCCATATTGGTTGGTTAAAGGCTTGGAGTTTAGTCTTTGCTTGGTGTAGGAAGCATTTGAGGTGAGAAACTCTCTTTCCATTGGTTGATTAATGAAATTTCTGGTTAAAGTTTCTTGAAATTTTTTGAGGAAAATGATGGAGTTCCATGAGCATGAATATAATCGATTGTTGTTGGATTATGTTTAAGTATGTTAATAATGTTTATGAAATCAAGTAGTGTTGTTGAAAGTGAAAATTTTCATGAAACCCCAAGGGGGATTTTTGGCCAACAAGGGAACTTGGAGGCTAAATGTGTTTAATGTATATTGATGGTATTTTTAGACTCCCTATATGTTAAGTGTTTGATTTGGAGTGGTTGAACCATGTCCATGTTGTTAAAAAATTTATGAAAAAATCTTCATGGTTCCTCTTTGGTCATCTTCGGCCCTTACAAGCAAAAATAGGTTGGAATTATGTGTTGAGTCATCTTAAATGATGATGCATATGTCCTAAGTGCTTTTGTGACAAATTAAGTGTTTGGTTGGTGGTTGAATGATTAAAAAAGTGAAAAATAACCTAAGACACCATGTATGTCAAGAATATAAAACAAAAATTGTGTAGAGAGCTTGTGAGCCTTACATTGTCATTGGTTAATATATGTGGTGGATGTAATGTATAATATGGATATATATTGTAACGCCCGACCGCTTCAAGAATCAATGACTATCCCCACATATTAACACGAGACTTTTCAATGTGTTTTTTCCTCAATCGCACACTTCTTGGGAAAACTTCCCAGGAGGTCACCCATTCCAGAATTGCTCCAAGTCAAGCATGCTTAACTATGGAGTTCTTCCGTTCCGGGCTACCGATGGAATCACTCTCTTTCGGGTGTCGATTCGATTCATTCGTGCATGTAACCCCCCGCTAGAAGCCTGTTAGGAGCCGTTCCTTGTCCATGCCCTTTCGCACCGGCGATCACTCCCCGCCTTCGTCAGCGCCCGGGATGTTACATGCCACCAGCTTCTGCCTGGTTCGTCCTCGAACCACACTGTACTGGAAGAGAGGCCCTGCTCTGATGCCACTTGTAACGCCCGACCGCTTCAAGAATCAATGACTATCCCCACATACTAACACGAGACTTTTCAGTGTGCTTTTTCCTCACTCGCACACTTCCTGGGAAAACTTCCCAAGAGGTCACCCATCCCAAAATTGCTCCAAGTCAAGCATGCTTAACTATGGAGTTCTTCCGTTCCGGGCTACCGAAAAGAAGATGCATCTTGTTAGTATAGGTAGTACCAATTAATTCTTATAAGCCATTCCCAACTGTACCGTCCCATACCAGCACAGTCTCTGGAATCCCTCTCTTTCGGGTGTTGATTCGATTCATTCATGTACCCCCGTCCCTAGAAGCCTGGTAGGAGCCGCTCCTTGTTTATGCCCTTTCGCACCATGCCCTTTCGCACTGGCGATCACTCCCCGCCCTCGTCAGCGCCCGGGATATTACATATATGATGTTATGCTATGCTTTGTATATAACCCTTCATGCAGGAAGCGGACTCATGGATAGAGACTTCTCCATAAACGCTGAGCTTACTGAGATAGTTTATCTCACCCCGTTTGGGGACAGGTTTCAAGTGTGCCAACAGTTGGAGAGCCTTCACGGGCCAATGAGCCTGCCCAGGGCTAGATGAGCAGATGGATTTAGTACCGTAGTACTTTTTTTTGGGAATGTATATATTATTCTTTTGGGTTATGATGTATGACCACTACTTGTATATGGCCTGTATCATTTTGAGATATTTATTCTTACATGATGTATGTGTATTTTGTATCTCAGGCATATATGTATCTATTATTCAGAGAGATGCATCTGTTAGTAACATGTATATTATATGTACTGTCAAGTTGATAAGATGTGTAGTGCCACAGAGCTAATAGTTGAATGAATCCATGGATGGGTTCTGAGTCCATTGATGGGCTATTTATTATTTATATTTGCACTGGACTTCTCTGATTGGTAGGGATTGTGTATGAGAGTGGTATTTGAATCCTTTGATTGTCTAGTTTATAGCGAAAATGTTGTCCATGTGACTCTATCAGGTTGGTATGTGTTGTCATGCCCTGACAGTCTTTGACTGTTGCTTACGATCACAAGATTAATAAGGAAGTCTACTGTGCAGGTATAGGACTGTACAATCATTAATTTTTTTTGAAAAAGTCATTTGCAATGTGATACATCAAGTAAAAGAAAAAGAAAAAGTTCATTCGCAAAGTCATATTAGTTAATAGTGAAGCTTTAAAGTAAGTCTTTCGCTTAGGCATTTAATTTATATTGCGCTTTAGTACCATTGGATGTTAATACACCAGCTATAGACGAGGTGTTATACTATTATGAAATTTTAAATCTAAAATTATTAATTCATATCAACAATATTCAAAAGAGACCAGTCCAATGCAGCAATATGCTAGTTGCTGAATAGAAAACAAAAAAACAGCTGAGGTGCAACATAAATACATAATACAATACATTTTCCTCCTTTACTCAAGTCCTTGCACCTTCAGTATAACTTCAAAAAAAACCTTTACACAAAATCCTAAATACATGACATAATTAAAATTTTATTTTTCCTAAATATCTTGATATTTCAAATTATGAAATCCTAAGCATATGCTGATAATTGACAATTGAATACTAAGTTAACTATCTTAAAAACGATATTAATTATGCACACACAAGACATGTTTGCAACTATACTATTAGTGTAGTCTAATAAAATAAGGTTGTTTTTTTCCCCATCAAATATCATCTGAGGGAAATCTCCAGGCTGATATATAAAAGAGAGGATTACCATTCCAACAGATAAATAAGCACTCATTCTCGTGACGGATTTGATATCCATGTATGTAGCTTTGTAACAGCTTTGTTGTCTGTAGCATCCCACCAAAGCTGATAGGTACCTTCACAAAACCAGCCAATAAAAGTCTTGTGATCCATGTCTCAAGTTTCTCATGCCTCTCTTTTCTCTTAACTCCTTCACATGCAATGATGTTTTTTATTTGCTCCCTTAATAGCATCTTCTCCACTAAGGTTCTCTCTACTGATGCTTTTGAAATGGTAGCTTCCAAGCAATCAAATAGTGCCCCATAAAAGTTCAATGCGTTGTTGATCCTCTCTGTCAAAGTGGAACCATTAACATTTGATTCTTGCTCAGTGATCACCATCACTTTAGGACGAAGCTTCCATAGGCCACTTAGAAAACACTCCATCTTAGGTGAAGGGCATGTAGAAAGAGGTGACATTGTCGAATCAGGACTTGGATTTTTTACCATTTGATCATCAGTTGCAAGAAGAGAGTGAAGTTGAAGAACACAACTAATTGCAAGAGGCTCTCCTTTATCGAAAGGCAATCTTTCAAGGTCAAGGTTCTCCAAGTTGCTTACAATAGCATTGAATTGAAAAGAAAAATTCATATTTTCAGCTTCTACTCTTAAATGTAACTCCATTTGCTCTAAGACCTCTTTCTTCTCATGTATGCCTGTAATTGTAATTTTCAGATATGAATGGTTTGGTAAACGCTCTTTTAAACTCTGCATAAGATAAATCCACTGAGTGGCATCAGACACACTGAGATCAAGGATATTAATTATTTTTTCCCCATCCATGGCTTCAATAATGGCCTGATTTGTGATCTTGTATGCACTCTTTGAAAACGGATACAACTCAAAGAATAGTTTCTTAACAAGTAGTTCTTCTGATGTTGATAGTGTTTTTGACAAACCAAGAATTTTGGGTATGCCACGCCTATTTTTGATCACTTGAAAAGCTAGTGCCTCACTGAAATAAGTTGCTACCCGCTGCATTGAATCACCATGAGGGGGGGCAAGCTTAGAAATTTTATACAGTGCAGTATCTGCTCTAGTGATGTTCCCTGATTCAATATACTTAACACAGTCCTTAAGAAGATGGACTAGTTGTAAGCCCCTGTCCGTCTCTTCAGGGAATTGATACTGCGAACCTAATATGGAAGATATTACTCAATTAGGAAAAGATTTACACTAATGAGTGTAATTGTGTAGAGAAAAATAAAAAGGAAAGATATTTCTTCGAGGAAAAGATTTACACTCATGAATTAAATTATGTAGAGAAAAATAAAAAGGAAAAATCTTTCTTCTAGAACCATTTCTTCCTTCCACAAGATAAAAATCATCTTGGTTTTCACTAATTCAAAATTGTTGCGGAGTCAATTATATAACATAATGCAGTAAGAAATAAACGGTATCTTTTCATGAAAGTATGTATCTAAAACACAAATATAAGGTCAAAAGAGAAATTGTTCTACCGTTATTACATCAATACTACATAATTAATTTACTGTGTAAAGAATGTTAGATTCTGAAGAAAACTAAAATATTCATTAGGGGGTAAAACACCATTGGTACCTGAAAGACAGCAAATAAAGAAGAGTAAAATTTCTTATGATGATTTCCAGTTTTGAATCAGGCAAGAAAGCCACACTAAGTTTATTCTTTATTCTTTTCCCTTTTTAATACAAACTTTTCTTTTCCTCCTCAAATTTCATGAAGAGTAATATTCTATAATGTAAGAGATTGTATTACCTGGGTCCATAAATTGGCTTTGTTGGACAACCAACTGACCGTGCATGTACACACCAGCGACCTCTTTAACTTTTTTACTACTTTTTTCAATTCAATTGAAAACGTAGATGAACAATTCTTAGAGGTTTCATTTCAATGCCACTCTAAGAGGTCTTGACATGGATTATGGTGTTGGGTTTTATAGGGATGAGTCAATTAACGTTCATGTCATGATGACTACATTCTGCGTTCATTTGACGACAATAACAAAAAATAAGTTGATTTTGTTACCTTTGGTTTGTACTTTGTACTCCTCTTGGTGTAATTGAACAGTCAAGGATTTCTAAACCAGATTTTTTTTTATTCTCTACATAAAAATAGTATTATTGCTTTCTAAACTTAGTACCTTAGCTCAATTCAACAAAAATCCAACAATGTGCAAACGAACCAAGTTACAATTATTTCTTGCTGCTTAGTGCTTAGTGAGTGATGCATAGTAGGCATCAATCGCTACAAAAGTTTCAAATTAATACGGCAAAAAATGTTTTTTGGATTCATGTTATTTTGACTTACTCCTCGATTTGCGGAGAAAGGACCAGGCAAGTACCTTTGGAAAAAGCCAAATTGGAATAGAACATTTTTATTTTTTTTGAAAGATGGAATAGAACATTTTATCACCCTAGCAAGTTGGAATATTCTTATCTTAGGTTATATAATCAAACATAGGTTTCATATCACCATGTCCCATTTATATATAATTTTGTACACTATACGCAAATGAGACATCAACTCACTGCAAATATTTCACATTATTATAATGAATAAAAAAAAAGTTTTAAAATTAAGGTATTTGCTATACTAGCTTTGGCCGATTCACCATACTCTTTCAAGAGGCCAGATGATTGTACAAAGTCCTTGATTTTATCTTTTACGAAAAGTCCTTCATTTTCATACCTTTTTTTTTTCTTGGATTATGTAGAGTAATTATCTAAGAAAATGGAAGTTATTATTTATAGAGGCAGAAATAAAAAATTTTATTACAATAACCTAACGCGTACCTTAGCACAGTTTCCTACATAATTTAATTATGACGGCAGAGGTGGATTCATAAATTCTTATCTTAAAAACAATACATGCAGAAAACATGAATACATTAATAAGTTAAATTTATAATATTGTATAATAGGGTAAATTACTATCTTCCTTTGAGAGAGATGCTTAAATTACACGGTGTGTCTCTATTTTAAAAAATAACACTTCATGAGAGATTAATATTGCTACACTTTAATTATTTTATTTTTTGTGACAACACACTTTAATCTATTCTAGTTCTTAGATTTATTTATTTATTTTCTTCCTATATTGAGAGTACCAAATCCTCTCGTACGTCTTCCCCGGTGGCTCTTGAAGATTTGAGAGTTTTCCTATGTTGAAGTCCTTTTCATGGTATACAGTTTTATACAGAGAAAGCTTGATCTGAAGTATTATATTTTTTCTTGGAAAGATAACCTTCTTACCTAAACTTCTATTCTCTTGCCTCGGCCCAACCAATACTAAAATGTGGGAGATAACAAGGGCTACAATTTTGTTGCTTTTCTGTTTTGACAATAAAATTTTCCTCAAAAATATAACTTTGTTAAGTAGAAAACAAAAGCGATGAAGGATATTAGCACAAAAGCAACTATGAGGATTCCTTGTTAAAAGCAGTAGCAAACAAGATGAGCATTTGAATAGAGATTATACATTTATGATTGGATGAATTAACATAGGAAATGATGTAGGTGTATTAGAAATGGCACAAAAAAAAAAAAAAAAAGAGTGGGTCAGGGACAATAATAGAGATGATAATTTACACTCTTTATCAACTCTCTCTTTGAAAACTTAATCCGTAGAAATACTATTCATTCCATAGGAAGCATAATCCGATAATCAAAATGGCCGTAGTGATATAAGATTCTGGATGGAAATAGAAAGATAGAAGGAAGAAATAAAATAAAAGAAAAACGCTATAATCATGTATAAGGTTTGCAAATACATAGACCATGAGCAATGAATTTTTATTTATTCACTACTATATAATAACAGACCTTATTTGAGAGAGAGAGATAATTTCTCTTTGTACTCTCTTCTCGAACACATGAAAATTTCCTATTATTTAATTAAGCACTTTGTTTTAATTTATAATTTTTAAAATTTACCCAAATTTTAAATATGCATAAATGCATGAGATACTTGCTAATTTATGTTTCAAACAGAACTAACAAAAATATTTTCAAACAATATTAATGTTCATAATTAAGTGCCACTCCCATGAGTGCCACTCTCTTTGAAATAATTATTCCAAAAGTTCTAGTTGTTATATAAGTGAAGAATCATAAGTAATTTTATAATATTGTGTGTCTCGAGCGGCTTTGATGTATTCGAGAACCGAAGGTCAAATTGGTGAATAAGTTATTTTGACTTATTAAATATAATTAATTTCTTAAATTTTGTTATTTCATTATCAATATTCTCATTCCATTTTTTATTTTTATAAACAGTATATTTGGTAAGATATATTTAAATTTTATTTTATTTTATTTAAGCTATAATTAATTTATCAAAAGATTTTATGATAAGTTTAAATGGTAATGAAATTTAAATAAAACAGTAGTAAATATAGCCGTATTTTTAAGTTTATGAAAAACAATTTATGTAAGGGCAATTGAAATCAAATATAAATGCAACAAACATAAGAGAGTGCTAATTCTGAAATATAAGAGTTTTGAAATCTTTTTATTTTAAGGAGGAAAATACTCTTGCATAGAAAAACTTTTTTGTGGCTGCAGAGTGCTAATTATGTGGAAAGGATTCGGCCTTGGTATACTAATTAAGATTGTGACATCATTTACCAAAAAAAAAAAAAAATATTGTTACATCAACCCAAATATGGTCGAAAGTTTCCTTCAATAGAAGCCAAGTTAAAGGTTCAACTTTATACCAGCATTATCAGCAATTAGTTCACGCCTTCAAGTTTGACTATTTTGGTCATAGCCTCCACGTCTGTTAATAATAAATCAATGTTGCAGTTTTGGCAAAAGAAATTATAAATAAAGTTTTACTAAAGCATAACATAAAAAATTTAATTGAATTCAATAATAAAATGACACTGAAATTTAAAAAAAAAAAAACTATATTCATAAAATCATCCTGCCCCATATTAAAAATGAGATAATAATTGCATAAATTTATAAGGTAACTTGATATCAACTCTGTAACGAAATAATGAGATAATATACAAGTGCTCAAAACACGAATATGAAATGGTAATTAGACTGTGGACCGTCCTAGTTTTTACTATGCCGATAAAAAATATCTTATTAGAGGTGACAAAGTGAACGGTCAAATCACCATTAACTAGCTAAAAAATGAGGCAGCTCACCCCACCTTATTTGGCGGGAGGGCCAGACTGGCCTTCGGCCCGAACTTTTTTTACAATAACTCGTCCAGTCTCACCATCAACCCACTAAAAAATGAGTCAGCCTTCTCCATCTCGCTTTTATAAGTGAGTTGTAATACTTAGCTCGCCCCGTCTCATTTAGACCGCAGGTCGAGTTGGCCCGTCGAACATAATTCGTTTTACCGGTCCTAATTTTAAGATTTATTTTTTTTAAAAAAATTGCCCGACCCGAAATCGAGTTGGGCTAGTTTACTTTAGACCAATCAATTTTTCAACCTGGTCTCCCGAACTCTGAAAGATTAAGCCTAACCAATATTCTATTAAGGCAGATCCCATTTTGCAATTAATATTTAATCATGGAAAGTTGTTTGTTAAAAAAAATGTTTTTAGTCCTGAGCATTGCTTCAAGTATGCTGGGTGATAACCTATTTTGCCTTTTTTTCCATGCATATCTTATTACCACTTTTCAATATCGTTATATCAGAATCTCGAAAGGAGAAAGAAATAAAGAGTAGTAGGTAAGATATACATGAAAAAAAGATAAACACAATGTCTTATCTCATATGATGGACTAATAAACTTCCAACGGAAACATTTTGCTCAATTTATGATTAATTCTAGTTTGAATTCCTAATTTTATAATAGTAAAATCTTATTTTAATTTCTAAAATATGAGGTAGCTAGATTATACTTATTATCTTTTTTCTTACTACTTCTTTCTACCAATCTTGTTATCGTATAATCAAAATCAAATCAACGGCTCTCACTTGAAATTTCTTTGTAATTGTTGATTTGATTTTGATTCAACGATAATAAAATTGGTAGTAAGAGGTAATAATAAAAAATTGTAGTAAGTATAACCTATCTCCTAAAATATATATCTTTTTTAAAAAATATATATATATATCCTTTATCAATTTAGTTTATAAAACTATTTAATCTATTTTTTTCAAGTTTATAAAACTTGAGTCCCACTTTTTTAATCTATCAATCTATTTAAATCTAAAATTATTCATTCATATCAACTACATTCAAAAGAGAATAGTCCAATGCTGCAATATGCTAGTTGCTGAATAGAAAATATATAATCAATATTAACAATAGCTGAAGTGCAACATAAATATATAATACAATACTTTTCCTCCTTTACTGAAAAGCTAACACACCTTCAATATAACTTCAAAAAAATCCTTTACACAAAATCCTAAATACATGACATATAATTAATATGTTATTTTTCCTATATTGTTATTTCAAATTATAAAATCCTAAGCATATAGCTGATAATGACAATTGAATATTAAGTTAACTATCTTAAAAACGTTATTATGCACACACCATGACACATGTTTGTAACTATATTATTAATCTAATAAAATAAGGTTATTTTCTATTCCAGCATACATCTTCGGAGGGAAACCTCCAAGCTGATACAGAAAAGAGAGGATTACCATCCCAACAGATAAACAAACATTTATTCTCATGACGGATTTGATATCCATGTGCATAGCTTTGTAACATCTTTGCGGCATGTTGCATCCCATCAAAGCTAATAGGTACCTTCCCAAAACCTGCCAATAAAAGCCTAGTGATCCATGTCTCAAGTTTCTCATGCCTCTCCTTTCTTTTAACTCCTTCACATGCAATAATATTTTTTATTTGCTCCCCTAATAGCATCTTCTCCAGTAAGGTTCTTTCTACTAATGTTTTTGAAATGGTAGATTCCAAGCAATCAAACAGGGCCCCATAAAAGTTCAATGCTTTGTCCACCCTCTCTGTCAATGTGGAACCATTAACATTTGATTCTTGCTCAGTGATCACCATCACTTTAGGATGAAGCTTCCACAAGCCACTCAGAAAACACTCCATCTTAGGTGAAGGACATGCAGAAGGAGGTGACAATGCTGAATCAGGAGTTGGATTTTTTACCATTTGATCATCAGTGGCAAGAAGAGAGTGAAGTTGAAGTACACAACTAATTGCAAGAGGCTCTCCTTTCTTGAAAGGCAATCTTTCAAGGTCAAGGTTCTCCAAGTTGCTTACAATAGCATTAAATTGAAAAGGGAAATTCAACTTTTCAGCTTCTACTCTTAAATGGAAACTCATTTGCTCTAAGACCTCTTTCTTCTCATGTATGCATGTAATTGTAATTTTTAAATATGAATGGTTTGGTAAACGCTCTTTTAAACTCTGCATAAGATAAATCCACTGAGTAGCATCAGATACACTGAGATCAAGGATATTAATCACTTTTTCCCCTTCCATGGCTTCAATAATGGCCTGATTGGTGATTTTGTAAGCAATCTTTGAAAACGGATACAACTCAAAGAATAGTTTTTTAACGAGTAGTTCTTCTGATGTTGATAATGTTTTTTTTTCTTTTTTCTTTGCCCTTCTTAATACAAACTTTTCTTTTCCTCCTCAAATTTCATGAAGAGTAATATTCTATAAATAAGAGATTGTATTACCTAAGTCCATAAGTTGGCCTTATTGGACAAATGACCATACATGTACACACCAGCGACCTCTCAACTTTTTTACTGCTTTTCAATCCAATTGAAAAGGTAGATGAACAATTCTTACAGGTTTCGTTTCAATGCCACTGTAAGAGGTCTTAACATGGATTATGGTGTTGGGTTTTATTGGGGATGAGTCAGTTAAAGTTAAAAGTTCATGTGACCACAATAAAAAAATAAGTTGATTTTGTCTCCTTTGTTTGTACTCCTTTTGGTGCAATTGAATGGTGTTGGGATATTTAAGTGTCATCTGAGATTTCTAACCAGAATTTTTGTATTCTCTCCATAAAAATATTACTATTGCTTCCTAAACTTAGTATGGATCTTAGCTCAATTCAATAAAAATCCAAAAAAGTACAAAAGAACCAAGTGACGATTATTCCATGGTAGGCATCAATTGCTACAACAGTTATTAAATTAATGCGGCGGCTAAAAAATGTTATTTGGATTCATGCAAAACGGTACACTAGACACAAGGAGAATGAGGCAAAGAGATTTGTTTACTAAGCTAAGGAGGATGATACACAAATATTTTGACTAACTCCTCGATCTGCGAAGAAATGAACAGGCAATTATTTTGAGTGGACGTTTGGTAGTCGGTATTTTTCAGGATTTTCGGAAAATTAAATTTTTCTAAATTTTTTAATTTTCGGATATTTATTGTAAACTGAATGTTTTCATCATATTTCTGAAAATTGAGATTTCTGGATAAAATTTTTTTTCTCCTCTACCAAATCGGAATAAAACATTTATCACCCTAGCTGGAATATTCTTATATCTTAGGTTATATAATTAAGGGTCCCTAGGATGTTCCCTAGGATGTTGACATCCTGAAAATAATAATTATTATTATATATTACGGGTAGTATATAGTTTTTTTTTTTCATATCTCTTATAACTATGTACTATGAGTAATATATAGTTATAATATTAAAATTTGTTTTATATCCCTTACAATTATATAATGCTCATAATACATAGTTATTTTTTTGTTGCAAAAATTTCTACAATATAATATATTTCCCAATAATCAAAACATAGGTTTCATATAAAAATTGATAGCTCAGCGGTGTGAATTTCCGTTAGGAGTTTCGGTTATCACAATGTACCATTTAATATACAATTGTGTACACGATAAACAAATGAGATATCACCTCACTGCAAATATTTTACATTATTAATGAATAAAAATAAATTATTTTGTTTAGTACAAAAAATAAAATTTTTAAAATTTAAGGTACATCATTAAATTAAATTTATAATATTATATAATAGGGTAAATAACTCTCTTCCTTTGAGAGATAAATATTGCTACACTTTATTTCTTTATTTACTTACTTTGTGTGACAACAATTTAATCTATTTTAATTCTTCGATTGAATTTATTTATTTTCTTCCTATATTGAGAGTTTTCCTATATTGAAGTCTTTTTCATTATGGTATACAGTTTTATATAGAGAAAGCTTGATCCGAAGCATTCTACATTTCTACTATTTTTTTTTTTTTTTTTGTAAATGACATTTCTACTATTTATTTATAGCTATTACAGACAAAGTCGCCTTTTCTTGGAAAGATAACCTTCATCTAAACTTCAATTCCATTGCTTCGGCCTAACTAATACTAAAATGTGGGAGATGATAACAATTGCAAGGGTTTAAAATTTTGTTGCTTTTCTGTTTAGACAATAAAATTTTCCTCTAAAATATAAATTGGTTAAGTAGAAAACAAAAGCGATAAAGGATTAGCACAAGAGAAACTATGATTCCTTTTCAAAAGCAGTAGCAAACAAGATGAGCTTTTGAATAGAGATTATACATTCATGATTTGATGAATTAACATAGGAAAATATCAAGTAGGTATATTGACTATATTGGAAATAGGTTTTAAGTTTATGAAAAACACTTTATGTAAGTGCAATTGAAATAAAATATAAATGCAACAAACATAAGAGAGTGCAAATTCTGAAATATAAGAGTTTTGAAATCTTTTTATTTCATGGAGGAAAATACTCTTGGATAGAAAAACTTTTTGTGGATGCAGAGTGCTATATATCTGTGGAAGGGACTTGGGCTTAGCATACTAATAAGATTCTTACAACAACCCAAACATGGTGGAAAGTTTTCTCCAATACAAGCCCAACTTAAAGGTGCAACTCTATATCAATTATCAGCAATTAATGGGTTGGACTTCATAGTTCCCGCCTTCAAGTTTGACTATTTTGTTTAGAGATAGGATATTGTAACAATCAAGTTGTGTTACTACCAGTGTTTAAAAACTCGGCCCGGCCATCGACCCGGTCAAGGTCAGGGGTCATGGGGTCACGGGTTCAACCGGGGGGTCACTACGCTGACCCGATTTTATATATTAAAAAATGTAAATATATATCATATATGAAAATATTAAAAAATAAACCACCAATCATCAAAGATTCAAAATATAATTAACATAATTCACCGATTACAACCACAAGTTAATGGGATCACTACGCTGATCTGGTTTTGCCTCTTTTGAGAAGGTCTCTAACAAAGAAAAATTTAAAGGAAGTAAGAATGAGTTTTTGTTTTTCATCGACGACCATAAAGATTCCATTTGAATAGGTAAATTTTTACCTTTTCTAGAAGATTTATAGCAGCGAGGTGAAGATTGAAGAAGTCTAGGTCGCTGGAACTGGGAGAGAATAGAACGATAAGATTTAGGTTTGCAAGGATTTTTTTTTTTTTTTTAATAAAACGATGTCGTTTCATGGATTTTTTTTTTAAAAAAAGAAAATATGCAATAACCCCCTTCGACCCGTCTGACCCGGGAGTCACTGAAACCCGGCTGGGTTTTGGGGTCAGAGGGGTCGATGTGTATACAGGGTCCAACTTGTGACCCCAACCCTCAGAGGGGAGGGGTCAGAGTTGACCCGGGTCAACCCGGGGGGTGGGGTGGGATTTTAAAACACTGGTTACTACCATGTTACTACAAATCAATCTCACCGCTAGATTGATTATGTTGATCCAACGGTTATATTTATTTCCATCTTTGTATAGTTATGATTTCCCAAATTTAAAGTGAAAACATTAAATATGAAAAATCATAACCATACAAAGGTGGAAATAAATATAAAGTATTAAATTTGGGAAATCATGACCATACAAAAATGGAAATAAATATAACCGTTGGATCAACATAATCGATCTAACGGTGAGATTGATTGGTAGTAACGTGGTAGTAACACCAACTTGGTTGTTACAATATCCTTCCTCTTTTGTTTATAGAAAATCATTTTCTCATGTTGAAGGAGAGTTGTTTTCTTCTATTAGTGACCCTTCGATTTTCGTGTAATATTTTTTTTTATTTTTTATTTTTTTAATAGATATGGGCTCCACATATGATGTGTCTACAGCATAAGAAAATTTTCTCCTACCGCATGAGAAAATCAAAACCCTTTGTTTATAACCTTCATTTGTTATTACAGAAATCAATCTCTTATGTTATTGAAAAAGAAAATCTCTCTTGAAAAATAATAATAATTATATATTAAGAACAATGTATAGTTATAATATTAATTTTTTTTCTCCTTAGATATTGTCAGCTGACATGACCGAAAGAGAAAAATTAATTTTACCATTATAACTATGTACTGCTTATAGCACATAATTTTTTTATTTTTAGAAGATAATTTTGTTTTAACAATATGAGAAAAATAAAACTCTTGTTAAAAATATATAAATGTTGCAGTTCCGACAAAAGAAACAATAAATAACGTTTTACTAAAGCATAACATAAAAAATTTAACTACATTCAATAAAAAAATGAGACTTATTTTTTTTTTAAGAAAAACTATATCATAAAATCATCCAGCCCCATATTAAAAATAATTAGATAATAATATCATAAAATTTAGAAGGTAACTTGATTTCAACTCTGTAACGGAATAATGAGATAATATAATAAGTACTCAAAACGCGAATATGAAATGGTAATTATATATAGAGACCTAAGCCATCAACTTATATGAGTCTAAGAATAAGATTTTTTACATCGTTAATTTTTCTTATGTCTAACTGCTTTAATTTATTATTTATGTATGTTTTTTCATAAAAAGTTTTCATATAACGAAATATATGTTTAAAGAATAAAATTTAAAGGCAATCTATGATTAGGCTCATACAAAATGCAGAGAGCTGGAATAATTTTTTAGTAGACGACTTCGACGAAGCCATTTTTCAAAGAAAGGAAAAGAAATTAAAGAAAAAAAAGAAAAGAAAAGAAAACTTCAAATAAAAGAAAATAATATGTAGAAACAAAATAATCAAACATAAAAAAATAAAAAGAAAGCAGAAAATAAAACTTAAAAAAAATAAATACAAACGTAATATGAACAAACGCCAGGAAATAACGAAGCAATAATAATTACTTTATGGGTAATACTTCTCTCATTTAACATGAGAGAAATTTTTTTTCCTACACTAACAAGAAATGTAAAGCCCACAAGTTAAAGAAAAATAAAAAAGAAAAGAAATTGCAGGCACGTCTTTTTATGTCTCACTGACATGAGACAATTATCTCCTACAGTTGGAAAAAACTATTTCCCTTACTTTATAGTCGATTATAATTAATCAACATAACAGGGATAAGAGTATCTCAGAATATATATCTTATTAGTATCTAATTAACATAATTATTTATTACCTGTTTCGAAAATATTATTATTTTAAATTATTTATAATTTTGAAATTTTGAAATATAAGAGGTTTGCAATCTATTTATTTTAAGGAGTAAAATCAGTATTAATAAAATCGGACCGACCTGGGAACCGGTAAATCGGTCATATAACCGTTTGGTTGAAGCAACGGACTGGTCATGCATCAAAATTGGTGCGACCCGGTCCAACCCGGCCAGTTTTCATGAAAACCGGTGACCTGGTGACCCGGCCCGGTCTCACAAAAAAATTATTTCGAAAATTGGTTTTTTTAT